CGTCACCTCCATTCGCTCCAAGTCAGTTTATTAAAGGATCACGCGCGCGTTATCGTTCGGCTTATTAGCTAAACAGTAGGCAAGACGGTGCGGGGGGAGGGTCGGCGATCGCATCAAGCGAAGCGAGGCGCTTGAATTTTATTCTCGCGTCCGTAATTTTTTTGCGATTACTCCTAAGATATTTATTTAAATTATATGGTGTAAAGGAGTAAAATAATGTGCATGAAATGCTTAAAGCCTCTAACTTATTTAAAATGATAAGGATTAATTACCGCTTTATAATTGCCAATTTTTTAAAGTATTAAAATTGATATAGGTAGTATGTTGTCTTTAACATATAGACATATGCCATCGCGGACTTGTCTGTAGGCATATACAAGATACACAATTCCACCATACATTGATACACTACATAAACTTTCGGATTCCCCGGCTCGGACGCGAGGCGCGGGGTCACGCGGCGCTCGCGCGGCCCGGTCAAATAACGGCGACACGAAATTAATTTCGTTGAGCATTATTTTGATTTTGCTATATCTCCTAAGGTATTCATTTAATTTGCATGGTGTAAAGGGAAAAAATAATCTTCATGAAATGCTCAAGCCAACTAACGTATTTAAAATGATAAGGATTAATACCGTATTTGTGTAAATAGCTTTCCAATTACCGCTATATAATTGCCCATTTTTTAAAGTATTAAAATGGATATAGTATGTTATCCTTAAGAGATAGACATATGCCATCGCGGACTTGTCTGTAGGCATATACAAGATACACAATTCCACCATACATTATTTTGTTACATCTCAAAGGGTTTAGGCAGCGTTTTCGTTGAAAACATCAGATTTTCATTTTAACTTCATATCAATATTAAATTTGAAGATAAGAAGATATCGAAGTAAACTAATCGAAATTTATTTGATAAAGTTTTATGTATTAATGAAAGGCATATATAGATACCAGGTATCAGGTCGTTTCAAAATACACAAATTTTATTTAGGTACCTGAAAGCAGGCAACACTATTTTCTCTAGAAATAGAGAATGCATCAGGATACATAAATACCCAGCACAAAACAAAATGAGTTTGTTTTTGTTTTTTTCATAGAGAGCAACGCGATATTGGGCGCGTTTTCACAAAGCACTTATAGGCAACTTGGTATACGATTTGCACGATGAAGTCTGATATACTTTTATCTGATGATATTGCGATAAATAACTATTTCGACGACGAATGCCCTGACTAGCAATATCTGGTAAACCCTAGGATAATACGTCAGTAGAACTACCAGTTTTAACTTATCAGATATGACCTACTTGAGACGAATGATCAAGCTATTTTTAATATCTTAACTACAGACATTGAGTAAGAATGGGTGAGGTATAACAAATTTATGAATTTATAGATGCACCAGAAAAATTTCTCTAAACGACAACACAGGCTTTGCTTTCATAGCTCCTGCGAAATTGCCAGCAGCAGGCTACTAATTCTATTCTAGATGTAGCTCTTTGTTATATCTCACTCACGCTGTTTAGGTTGTTTGTACAATTTATTTAGGCTTTCAAAATATTTAACAGGCCCGATTTTTTATAAACATGTGACATTACACGTTTTTCTTTAACGCATTTAGAAGAAAAAATTGATTTTTCTATAGAAAAAACTTTTTATTAAGACTAGTTAACAAGCAGTTCATATTTTGTAACAAAATCAATAACAGATGAATTATGACTAAACATATTAAAACAATAACAGTTAATGATGATGTTCAAAGTGATCAACATGAATAGGTTTCAAATGGGCGTGGATCACTACCGGTACAGGCCTCTTGACAATAATAGGGTCAGGTACAGGAATGGGAATTTTATGCTCAACTGGTACCGCGACAGGATGCGGATGGTACACTTTGTACGGCACTTCTACAGGAACCCTTACAGGCACACTTACTGCAACTGGCACAGGCTTGTCTACTGGGACAGGAACATTTTTGATAACTTTCACAGGATACTTAACTGGAACATGCACCGGATATGGGCGTTCGATTGGCACGTCCACTGGGTGGGGAACATTCACTGGTATCAGTTTTTCTACGGGAACAGGATAAGGCTGGACGACGGGAACTCCGACTCTATTTATAACGTGGACATGCTCTTGAACTAAGCTTCCGAGATCGATGCGCGTGGTTCCAAGCACAGCTCCAGCTGCTGCTCCTAGGACAACACCGGAATAACCCCCAGCCCCTAGACTATAACCCCCTGTCGCTATGCCTTGACCTGTAGAAGGGTTTAGAGCGGCTCCGATAACGTTGCTATGTCCGTGTGGATGGGACGAAATCAATCTTCCAGCACCAATGCTTCTGCTTTCCCCAAAGACACCACGTTTAGTGGTTTTCTTTGTACCGGCATAGGTGGCGGAGAGCCCTAATAATACAAGGAACACCTAAAAAATGTTTAATATATTATGCATACCTCCTCAAGATCTATTACCTAGCAAATTCTTTTATTTATTTGAATAATTTGACACTTTTGAAAAAGATAAAAAACTGTTCAAATAAACCTTTGCACCAAAAGGATCTGTCGAGGGCTGTTTTTTAAAGAAAATACTTTTGCCTACCCTAAAATATCACACTAGAAATAGCAGACTAACAAAAAATTCAAAATACACGTCACTATTTATCGTGCACTTGGATAAGTCACTGCCGCATTAAAAATTATTCTGTTTTCCTAAAAAATAACCTTTAACTTAACTTTTCCGATGAAAGGTTTACTTCATTAATTTATTTTCCTTTTCACAAAATACCTAAACAAATAAAGAAAAAACGTTATAATCTAATCAAGAAAGTGTAAGGATTATACATATTAGAACACGCAATAAGCCCAGAATTATGGTAATTGACTAAATTGGATAAATAGGCCACGTTGTTGGAAACAGTAGAAATAATTCTAATTTATTGGCCGATTTTGGACATTTTTAATGATTTTTCAGTATGTATTCAATTCAAAAGTACTATATTTTACATTCTAGAATACTGACAATTGTTCTTTATTGTACATATTTAAAAAACAGGTGTTCTTCACATTTCAGCGTATATCATGGTTCGTGCTTGCTGTTATCATAATTGGTTTTTATTCTAAGTCTTAAATATGATCGATCAATTGGATAAATTTATTGCAGATAATATGTAAAAATATGCCAGAAATATAAAGAATTCTTAAATAATTCATTAGGTCAAAAATTGTAAAATATGAAAGCCATCGTAATGAAGTATATGTTACAATTTTTCAGTCGAGGAATAGAACTAGACTAATAAAATATCTTATAATGAAATTAATTAATAATTAACTAAAGAAACGGTAATTAGTATAGCGGTCGATTTTAGTTTTCAAGAAATTTAAAATTATAAAATTTGTACTTCACATAGTAGTGGAATTATTATTTGGAGCACTATAAACTGAAAAATGTAAAACACATGTCCAATAATTTCTGGGAAACATATTTTCAATAGTTAAAAAAGTATATTTATTTATTCTATTATTATTCCTTGCTATTCATTCCATTATCCATTTATTGACGTCATACGTCATGCCCCGAATTTCGTCTCTTGTTTATTATCAGTTATACTTTGGAATAAAGTTACTGAATATTGCAAATTTGTTTTTAGGGGCAACAAATGGATTAAAAATAACATCTGGTGAAAGTCTATAAATCATTTAACCTCTAGATAAATGTTCATTGACCAATAAAATATTAATAATTTAGCATAATAAAAAGTTGAAATATTACATGTGAAAATAGAATACTTAAGAATATTATTTATATAAAAGAAATTTTAAATGGTATAACCTAAGTTTATAAGGAACTTTGTAGTTCCGATTAGAAAAGTTTTTTTATATTGAAGTGTTCTTAATCTAAGTTTAACTTTACTTTGAAATTATTAGAAAATAAGAATTATTATTACAGAAGAATTATTAGAATTAAAAGTTAGGTTAAGTTTCTGTATCCAATAAAAAAATTGAAATAAACACTAAATATTGAACAGAAAACAACCTGATTAATAATTTAATAAGAATTCAATCTTCATATAAAGTTAAGGTTAGGTATTTTATTTTACATTTAGAAAAATTATGTGACCTAACTTAATTTTATCATATAGTTCATAGTATTTTATTTTAATTAAATGAAAAAGATACTAATTCCTAATCTAATGATAATTCTAACAATTTATAGTTAAAGTAAAATGAGGTTAAATTTTTTATAATTTAGTACAAAAAAAAACTTATCTCACCAAACCACAGTTTATATAGAGGGCTGAAGAATGGTGACTGAAAAATACATTAAATAAATATATTTTCCATTTAAATTTCTGAAAATATTTTTCCCATGGCTTATCTCTAACTACATGTGTTTTAAATGAATATGTCAGTACAGTAATAACTGAAGAGTTGTATGAACTGTACAGGTTACAATTATGAAAATTTTTTATCGAAAACTAGAATAGAAAACACTTTTACTTAAATGACATGAAAAACACTATCACTAATCATTCGGTTATTTACTCGAATAAAGAAATTAATAATATTAGTCATCATTTTAATGATGATGCTCAAAATACCTCCATTTCGACGAACACAGGCCCGGCATCTTTTTAGTAACGAAAATGTAACTTGTTCGAAAATTGTTGCTTGAATCTGATGAAAAGCATTATTTATTCTTTCTTGTAACTGCTCAGAATATCAAAGTTGCTACTTCTACTCTCAGTTCGTTTTTCAAGCTTAATTCGAAAATCAGTCTTTTTTCGAAAAACATAAGAGAGTTTAGTAATTTGTAGAAAATTGAAAGATGAGTCCGTACTATTTTATTTAGAAAAATATGCCACTGGAGTATGTAAATTTTGAGAAAAGCCCTTATGTTTTGGACAATGTTTACATAAATACATGTGCCCAATTTCAAATGATTTCACTTACTAGTTTTTAAATTATTTAAAAAAAATTAAAATATTTTTTGATAAAAACTTTATAATTCACCAAAGAATACGAGGTTTCATTTTTGGTCACCATTTGTGAATCACCCTGTATTTTTCTTTAAACTTGTTCTTACTAAGTTACAGGAGATAATTTTTAAAATACATGTTTTTTCTGTTAAAAACTGTTTGTTCTGTGCTAACGCACTTTTCGCAAAATCAATTTACATTGATAGTGTTTACACACTATAGAAAATTTCACTATTTACACTTACAGCTGTTTTCATGGTGGCTACAGAAACAAATACATGGGTATCATAACGGAAGACCGACTGACTTTTTTATTTGTTTAGAGTTTTTATATCAGATTTAAGCATGCTTCCGCTTTCTACTGAAATATTCTGTACGGAAAAATCGTCTGCAAAATAAATATTTTTACGGGACACCGAACACCCGAATTAATGTTAAGAAGATTTCAAACTCTTCCGATAAATTAATGTTTATATGTTAATTTTGTACAATTTACATTGGATAAAGGGAACATTCTACCTATTCCATATGGTATTGAAAGTGAAAATGTATGTAAATTACTTTTTACAATAAAACTTCAGAGAAATCCTTCAGTTATAAAAATTATGTAACTATAATAAAAATAATTATTTCACAATTTTATGTGTCTCAGTTTTCAAATATATACAAGAAACAATATAAGTGTGAGATATGTTTAAGTATAATTAATATCCAAAATAAGAGGCGAATAATGTTATTTTAAGTGGTAACGACAATCTAGAGGTTGGAAAAAGGTGATTTTCGGGAACTTTCAAGGAAATATGGATACAAGATAGAGTGTCAGGAACAAAAGAGATTTATTGTATATATATTTTCAGGTAGTATCGGGAAAAATAATCATCAAAATTGCACTAAAATTTGGCAGGGCATTTCGAATTAAATTTGATTTTGTGTATAGAGTTTTTTTGTAGGTACTGTATTTTTTAGATAAATAAAATATTTTCGTTGGGGGAGTTTTAGAATTAGACAGTTAATAATTTGCTTTGATGAACTAAAGTGAATCAATTAAACTACGTAGAGGGGACATTATAAGCAGACAGCTAAGTAGACAGCGTGACTCATACCTCAAGTGAGTAAATAAAGAACATTACTCATACTATCGAGAAAGTTTCTGAAATAAATCGGAATGTAATATTTTAGATTCACAGGTTATATACGTGGAATGAGGAAGGTAAACTTGCACGATAATATTGACCACTTATGAGACTAAAGCCAGCTGGTGGAAACATGAATTAATTCCTTAAGGGCCCCATATTTTTTAAATAGTGTTTTCCACAAAGACGAATAATTTCAAACATTTAATAACTAAATAATCTAAAGCTTATCAAATAATAGGAATGTTATGTCATGCCACCTGAGTATTTTCAAAGACGCCGCAGTAAAACGAATAAACAGGTGCAAAAAACGATCAAACCATCAAGGTTTTAGGTACTGAAATCTACGAAAATACTAACTTTTTTA